GTCAGCAGAATGACGTTTACGGCAACCCTATTGCATTGCTATTCCGCACTCGTTTTGTTTACATTTATTTGTACTGTGGTCAGTTTGCAAAAAATATGCGAAAATATCAAGGACGACCGAAAAAACATCCTGGTTTTAATAAAAGATCCAGAATTCAGCGTAAACGTCGAGCTCAAGAAAAAAATATGAAATTAAATTCCCGAGATGTGGAAGATTCCGAACAAGCGGATGTTTTCGAAAGGTGAGAAATAATTTATTCTTTATATCGACTACCCCGTGTTTATGATTTCGTAGTAAGTTAATTCCGAAGTAAAATATGCGTATTTTTTTTATTGAAGGTCAGAAATTATTGATACAACTGCATCTGTGTCAAAGGAGAATCATTGCCCGGATGATTTTTTTTACAAAGTAAGTTTTTTTTTTTTTTTTTTTTTTTTTGTATGTGTGTGTATGAGGGGATGCTAATAATTGTTCAATTCTGTTATAAGAATTTATTCCTCCATTCACACTAAATTGTTGGGAAATATTGAAAGGGTAAATTCCAATTCACAAGGAATTGCTGAAATAATTGAATCTTTTCAAAAGTATGAGCATGTTCTTGCGATCTAAATTGAATTCACCATCATTACATGTATTATTGGAAATTTTATAGTCATATGTTTGCTACGAAATGCTTTGTCAGTTACCTATGGTATATTTTAACAGGTGTATGCACATTTATTCATGTGCTCGCTGTTCAACTTGCTTTTTTTTATTATGTCATTTACTTGGATGTTAAAACTTTCTTTTAGCGTTGGAACATTTTATGATCATTTAGTAAAATTTATATATAAATATATATTATTGCTTGTTTATTTATGGTTCTGTGTATTTGTCATGTATGCATGTTGTGAAGTGTAGTTTTTGAAAAATATGTCACAAATGTTAAATTCCACCAAAAGCTGAATTGAATTGATATTGGGATGCAGGTAATTAGAAAATATCTGCTGTGTATTTTGAGCGTAAACCAAACTAGTGCCAAGAATGGGACCAATACGCTCAGGCTTGCTTAGCCTTTTTGCCATTGTCCAAATTGAATTATCTCCAGTATAAAGGGAGTGAATGCTTTCTCTGTATAACAATAAAATATCTGTCTGATCAAAAATCTACCAATAAGAAACTTTTCATATGTTATGTGACAGACTTTCTGCAAACAGAAGTCCTCAGCTCTGTTCTTGTACATGTTTTTTAATTGTGGTTCAGATGTGTACTTCTCAAAGGAATTCTTCTCATAGGAAGATTATCTGAACATTTAAAAACTATATTCTGCTTTTAGGGGCCTAATATTTTATGCCCCTAAAATTAATATTGAAATTTCTAAAATGTTGAAAAATATGTCATCTGGATTCTGTACAAAAAATATAATCCCCTTTTTCATTTCTGCATTTGCAATTCCTGCATTTTCTTTATTCCTACATTTTTTAATTGGAAGGAATTTCATTCGCAGAGCCCTCTAATTTATTCTTACAAATCATGTAGTATGTACCATTTTAGATAGATATAAATAACACATTTTGTAATTTTTCTAAACTGTGGTTATACAGCATGATATAATAGCTACACAGGGTATGGCGAAACAGTATACAGCAATATCTGTCGCACTGTCTGAGATGGGTGGTAGTCATACATAGCTTAATGCTTAAATTTGTTATGTGTTATTTATTTATTCATGTTTTTTTTTTTTTTTTTTTTTTTTTAATTATGTTATATAGCAGTTTATTTCTTTCATTCTTAGGTCCGGAAGTGAAAAATTTGACTTTTCTACGCCAGAAGTTACAGCTAATGTTCCTAAGACAAACCAGGCTTTCCTGAGGTAAGTTGGTTTATTTTTAAAATAGATATTAGCTGTGCATGATATTACAGTTACTTAATTATGGTTAACTAATTATGTATTAATTTAGAAGTCAAGCAACCAAAATCAGCGTTATATTTTCAAATAGTGAATATTTCAAAATATGATGCTGATTTTTGTTGCTTGACTCTCAAATTAATACTTGGTCGGTGTGTTATTGTATCTTAATTAAACTAATTATGGTTCTTTTCTTCTCAGTTCTGATCTGGACATTTCAGTTATTGACTCTGACGTAGAAGGTAGAAATACAAGCTCTCTTTTGGGGTAAATATATGTATTTCTCTATGCCAAAATTAAAATGTCATCATTTATGTTTTTCTTTTATGGTGTTACATTATGTTGTTTACATACTGATAGCTATTAAAACTGTTAAATATAATATTGTAGCTATCAAAAAGAGGGGGATGAATTTGATTTGTACCAAATTTGGACGTTTTGCATGAAAGAACTTGAAAATAAAAGATTTTTTTTTTAAAAATATATTCATTGAAATCAGTGAAATTTTCAGTCGGGACACTGAAGCAAATGAAAATATTTTGGGGTTTGATTCTTTTGATGGGAGCCTCATCAATAAGCCTACTATCTTTTTTAAATATTGCTTCTTTTTCATTGTTTTCATGATGTTTTATGTTCCCTTCATGAAAGAGATTTTTAATAATTTAAATTTTGTTAATAAAATATAACAAAATGAAATCTGTGATTATGTGGCTGTTATTTTTTCCATATATATTTATTTGAGGAAAACCACAAATTTTATTATTTTACAGAATTTTTAAGAAAAATATAAGGATAAAATTTTTTAAATAATTCTGATTACTACCTTTGCTTTCCTCTCATAATGTGCCTCAAATTAGAGCAATTAGACAACAAATTTAAGTCGTGATCTTTTTTTTCCAAGTTTTTTTTTTTAGGCTTAGGAGTATAAATTGCTTATCCCCACAAGACAGTGCATCTTCTTAGTATGCCATCCTAAGGCTCCGTTCACATGATGGTATAAATGTCATAGACGCATAATCATAAGGCACAAAATGTGGGAGTTCCATTCACACCTGCGAGAGAGGGTCTAAGCCATAGCCAATTAGAGAAGCTAAATTTGTGCATGCATGTATGTGTCTACAGCTTCAATAGAACTGACTACAAAGCGTTGTTAGTTGGGAATTATGACATTTATACAATGGCTTGAATAGAGCCTTAGAAAGCCATTTGGTAACTGAGTTATCCACCATGAAAGAGTTATTCTTGCCCCTCTGAATTCAGTGTTTACTGGAACACGAACATTTTATACTCAGGTGTAGAGGCCCTTCATGTGAAACCTCCGGCACACAAAGTAGTGACTAATATTGCACGAGCAAATGACACTGCGAGCATGGAAGCAGCAGTTGTGAAGATGACTCATCTTCTTGTAGTAATATACTGGTAATCCAGTGTATTATTATTGTTAATTTATTTGCTATCTGTTGCCTAAATTTCCTAAACCTAATTGCGAATGGGCTGCCTGCATGGGCGTTTTCATGGTTTTCCCCGTGTATATGAGCCATTTCCCTTAGAAAGTCCTCCATGAAAGCATTCCTCCTCTTAGGAAGATCAAGTGCTTTGCTGTCATCAAATAAGCCAAATTTAAACCTAATTTGTAATATTTATATATATTAATTATATATATGTATATATATTGTATATATATATATTTTAGCTTGGAGTCTGAGCCTCTTCAGGAGAACCTTAATGATGAATTTCTGTGTCCTGATTCACCTTTAATTATCGAAAGGGAAGATCGACGAAAGGCAAATCCATTACCATCTGGCAGAACAATTTGCAATATGTCTTTTGTAATAGTGCAGGCTAGGACATTAGAGCAACATTCCCTAAATTGTAAATTTGGAGGATCATTTATTTTTAACAAAGTGATTCGACGTGGTCTTGTCACTACATATAACTATGTATGTGATAAAATTTTATGTGGGGAAATGGCAACAATTTGTTCTGATATGGAGAAAAGCAGCCTAAATCAGCTTGCAGTATTAGGTGCGTTATCTACTGGCAGTGGATTTTCACAAGAGGAGGAAAAGTTTAGCATCATGGAAATTTCGTATATGAGCAACTCTACATTTGCTTCTTGTGAGGGAACTACTGGCAAAATAATACAGGGATGTGCACAGGAAACTATGTGTGCTGCTATAGAAGAGGAGAAAAGGCAGGCAGAACTTCGCAATGATAAAAATAATGATGGTTATCACTGTATAACTGTTATTGTTGATGGAGGTTGGTGTAAAAAGAAGCTATGGGCATGGTTACAATGCTTCAAGTGGCATATCTGTTATTATAGGCATGGTCACCCAGAAAATTTTGTTTGTTGAAATTCGCAACAAAGTGTGCCTTATGTGCAGTGCTATTGAAGATGGCAAGATGCCAAATAAAGTGTACCTTTGTTGGCGAAATTGGAATGGGCCTTCTACAGGTATGGAAAGCAGTGCCATTGTGGAAGGTCTGAATTATCTCCAGTGTGTTCACAAAATACGTTGTACTCGACTTGTTGGAGATGGAGATGCTAACACAATGGCCAAAGTGAAAGAAAGCGTTTCATATGGAGGACGGGTGATCAAAGTAGAATGTGCTAACCATGCTGTTCGAAGATATCGCAGAGCTCTTGAGAAACTTCAGCAAAATACTGCGCGCTTCCCCGGGGCTAAAGGAATTGCTGCCCGTAAATTGCTGAAAATTAAAATGCCACTGTTAGTCAGAGGTGCTAGAGTAGCTATAAAAGCTCATGCTTTACCTAGCCATTATCAGCACACACAAGAAGCTATTGATGCATTAGTATCTGACTTGAGAAATGGGCCACATCATATATTTGGCAAGCATGATGCTTGTAGTGCTTTTTGTGCAAAGAAAGGTGCAGAGTTGGACAGCACATACAATGAAATTTTTTCCTCGGGTATGTTGCAAGCTATTGAAGCAGAAGTGGGAAGAGTACTGATATCGTGTTGTAGCAGTACTCTTATTTGGAATGCCACAAATAATCCTGCTGAAAGCTTCATGAGTCAGTCAACTGTGTAAAACATCTGGTGGAAAAAGAGTTGATTTTTCCAAAGCTGGTGGCATGAAACAGGCGTGCGAGTATTGCTGTCATGGCCTATCAAAATCCAGCACAGCAGTGGCAAAAAAATGCACAAAAAGCTGTAACAGGAAGTAGCCCCAGGACTCCAACTTTGAAATTCTTAGCTTCCAGAAATAAGCGCCATGTAAAACGTCTTGAGAGACGTAGACTTTTTGACACTGAGAAGAAAAAGAGAAATATGAGGAAAGCAGGACATATTCAGCAAGGTGGGGATATTTCTTATGGTGATTTTCCTGAGAAACCAGACCTATCAGATGAAGCATATGAATTGGCAGCTAAAAATTTTTTTATATCAATTGAAGTTCCAAAAAAAGATTCTCTTGAGGCCGTAACACGTGGACAGTCATCATCTGAAAGATGGCGTCATGAAAGATCAAGAAGAATATCATCATCCTTTTTCAAAGATGTTGCTGATAGGCGTCCAACAACACTCAGTGCTGCTTTAGTGAAACGTATCATATATAATGATAACGTTTCAACTAAAGCATTAAAGTATGGCTTGGCTAACGAAGCAGTAGCCTTAAATCAATACAAGGAAAAGCACATGGGAAAAAACATCAGACGTTGTGGCCTTTTTATTGATCCTAAATATCCCTTTCTTTGTACTTCGCCAGATGGATTGATAGACGAAGATGGATTACTTGAAATAAAATGTCCTTATACAGCCAGATTCTCAGCAGACTTGTCAGACTTTTTCAGCAAGCCTAATTCTGTTGGTCTTCGGATGGATGCTGATAATAATCTTTATTTACCGAAAAGCCACAAATATTATTTTCAAATTCAAGGGCAGTTAGCCATAACAGAGAGGAATTGGTGTGATTTATATATATGGTGCAGAGAAGATGCAATCACATTAAGAATACCCGAAGACAAAACTTTCTGGATCAGTTTAGTTCCAAAACTCGAAAAATTTTACGTGAATTGTATTCTTCCTGAGCTTGTTGATCCAAGAGCACCAAGAAAAATGTCTCTTAGAGAACCGAAGTATATTGTTGATGCTAGAGCACAGAATGAGAAACAAAAAAAACAGGCCACTGCTTCTGTAAAACAAACACAAGAAAAAAGAGAAATTGAAATTTCAGAAGCAGATAAAATTATTTCATCTCCTAGAAAGAATGCAGGAGAGAAAAGAATCAGGAAACCAAAAATTATTTTTGATTTGTAATCAGTAACAAGCCAAGCCAGCACACCGTAACATTTTCTACGTCTGAATAAAAACTATGCCTGCAACAAAGCATTATGATTAAATCCATACCTAATTAGAATATTACCCCATTTCTCTAAAAAAAATATGTTCAAAAAGTCTCTGCTTTCAGTAATAGATACGTCTGATCAATTCTGCCATAATTCTGTAATCAATACTTGAAGCTAGAATCTCCTGTGCTGCACTGCCATTGCATCTCTTTTCTGAATGTTTCATCATCCACTTCTCATTCTAAATATTCCTGTGTGCTTTCATTTATAGCTGCTAACTTGTTGTGAACATTTTCTGCACCACATGTTATATTTTGCAGTGTAAATAATGCGTGCAATCATATATTTTGGTTTTAATCATCAGTAACTTTGGTAAAACTACATTTATGCAAAGAAGACTTCCATAAAGTCACAGTTTCTGTGAAAAAGAAAATAAGTTTGATGACCTCTGCCATAATTCAGTAAATAATTTTTTTAAAATAGCATCACCTGTGTTGCACTAACATTGGAAAAAAATTAAAGTCATCTCTTTTTTGAATGTTTCCTCATGCACTTCTGTTTCTAAGTATTCTTGTGTGCTTTGATCCATAGCTGATAACTTGTTGAGAATATTTTCTGCACAACATGTTACACCTCTGAACTTAAATACTTGCGGTAAAGAAGTATTTTGGTTTGAATCATGTGTAACTCCAATATAAGTCCATTTCTCCAAGGAAAACCTCCACAAAGTCACTGCTCCTGATTCAGCTGGAAGGACATCCATACAATGATATTTGAGAAGAAGACATACAAAATTGAGTATTGTGGAAAGATGATTGCTTATATCTTGAACGTGGATGATCCACTTGTCTACAAAAACTCATAACCATTCTAAAAAATAAGGACATCAAATTTCAGTGCATCCTGCTCTCACAAGAGAGAAAGGTGATCATTAGAAGCCTTCCCAGCTCCACATGTTAATGCTGCCTCATGTTGCATAATATAATAATACACACACTGGCCAATCAATAAGAAACCTTTCAGATTTTCATCTGAATGCATGCTAGGGATGAAATATCCAAATTTTTTCTATGATGTGGATTATACTTGGTTAAAAATGCCAGTATAAGTAAGGTGTAAGAGTGCTTTTCATGATGAATGAAGTAAAATGGGGAAAAAAGGCGGCAGATCGTTCACCATTTGAAAAAGGGGCTTATTGTTGGTGCACATTTAGTGGGGGCATCGATTTCGAATCCTTCTCTAAAAAATGTAACTGCAGTTCGAGCATAGTTTTCAAAGACAGTGATCGGCGGTATCTCCGATGAATTGTACGGCAGAACACGGATTCAACTATCACAAATCGTCAACCAAGGCTCTTCCCAACAAATTTCAGCTAGAACTATGCGCAGCGAATTGCAGAGGGATAGGAATGCATAGTTTTGGTGCCTGTAAGAAAATCACTCAGTTCTGCCGACATGCAAGACTTCATTTTCAGTGGTGTCGAGAAAAGACACTGGACATCTGAGGATTGGAAATGGGTAATGTGGTGGGATATTACATTATGTATTACATATTAAACATAAGTTATGGGTTACCTCATAACTACAGAAGGTTCCTGTTCGCTGCCAGAAAAGGTTGAAGTAATCTGCAATGTAAATTACCGACAATACATGAGCTTTGTTCATTTATGGGCATGATAAAATTTTATCGATGCTTTTTGAAAAATGCTGCAGAAACTCAAGGAGTCATACACGAAATGTTAAAGGGTGATAAAAAAAAGATCATTGTAAAGTTCCATGCACAGATGAAGGTGTTTAGTGTATTTAATTATGGCAAAGCACACTAGGGCTATCTGCCTAAGAGAAGGGATGCCTTCGTGGAGGACTTTCTAAGGGAAACTGGCTCATATACACGTTACACATGGGGAAAACCACGAAAACGCCCATGCAGCCAGTACCGTTCGCGGGATTCGAACCTCGGACCGAACTACCAGTGTTCAGCGATTTTACCGCTCTGCCGCTGGTAGGCCTGCACAGATGAAGGAATTCACCAGTTTGAGAAGTGCAAATCTGATTTAGTCAATGGTGCCCTTTTGTGTTTCCCAATGGATTACCCTTTGTGTGCAGATACATCAGACTTTCCTATAGGATCAGTATTGCAGCAATTGGAAGAACAAGAACAAGACTGAAAACCTATTGTGTTCTACTCTAAAACATTAAATAATGCACAGAAGGTTTATAGTACCTATGACAGAGAATTCTTAGGAATATATCTTTCTGTCAAGCATTTTAAACATGTATCGGAAGGACGCAAATTCATCATACTTACTGATCACAAGCCACTGTCATATGCATAGAAGCAAAAGAATGGGAAGGCATAACCCAGACAACAACACCAACTTCAGTATATATCGGAATTTTCAACTGATATTCAGCATATTGATGCCAAAGAAAATTTAGTTGCAGTTGAAGTAGTCTCAGTTACTGGCTATGAAGCAGTAGCAGATGCTCAAGAATATAATGAAGAATTGCAACATTTAATGACAGGTAGTGCTTCACTGAAATTTAAATCATCTACATTAGCATTTTGGAAAACATTAAGATGTGACAGCTCAACAACCAGTATCAGGCCTTTTATTTCAAAGCAATTTAGACAACAAATGTTTCATCAAATTCATAATTTTGCTCCTCTGGTATCAGGACAACTGTCAACGAGATGACTGAAAAATTTATCTTTCCAAATATAAAGAAAGAAATTCACGAATAGACTTAAAGTCCTGTTAATTGTCAAAGGAGCAAAGTCAACAGGCATACAAAATCTAAAATAGCCGAGTTCCAAGCACCTCATGCTAGATTAAGTATTGTGCAAGTTGACCTGATTGGGCCATTACCACCATCTGCTGGTAGGACGTATTATCTGACATTTATTGACCATTTTTCCTGTTAGGGAGAAGTAGTTTCTTTACCAGATATCACAAGAGAAATGGTTGTCAAAGCATTTTACAATCATTGGATTAGCAGATTTGTTGTGCCTAGTTCCATAATCTCAGATCAAGGAAGACAGTTTGAGTCGCAGCCTTTCAAGAGCCTTGCAAAAGTATGTGGTGCTAAAGTTTTACGTTCCACTCCATACCACCCACATTGCAGTGGGAAAATTGAGCAGTTTCTCAGAACTTAAAAAAATGCAATAAAGGCTCACAGCAACATCAGATGGACAGAAATCCTTCTAGGATTCAGAGTTGCAATATGTCCTGATACTAATCACTCTGTAGCTCAAATGGTATATTTTATGCAAATAAGGTTACCATGTGAGTTTTTCGACTACCTACCACTAAAACTAAACCTGAACCATTTGTAACAAATTTACTGTCTTTTATGGATCAGCACCAGTTTATCAACTGCTAACAAACATAAAATATTTATGCATAAAGACTTGAGATCATGTTCTCATGTGTTTGTGAGAACTGATCGTGTGAAAAAGGCACTTGAATTTGCTTATTGAGGGACCATTTTTTTGTGGTGAAAAAATATGATAAATATTTCCGAGTCTTAATTAAGGACAGACAAGTTAACATTTCATTGACAGACTGAAACCAGCTTATTTGTTACTTTCGAACAAATTACTAGAAACAGTGACTAAAAATAAAAAACCATTTCACATTTCATGTACCCAAAATTCTGATATTGTACCTAACGTCAAATCTATTATTCTAGATGGTATGAAAATCAGAAAATGTGTTGGATTTAAGGACTAATGTTTTGTATATTTTGCTATACTTCATCATCTTCTAAATATTAGTAAATATATATCTGCATTAGTGATAATCAGCTGTGAGCACATAGTGCACCATCTGCAACTCATTTGGGTATAAACTATGCTAGTGATTATAATGTCCTTGCTTTTTCCCATATGCCATATGTTGCATGAAATTTTGTTATATGAATCTAGCTTCCTGTGAGGAATTTCTGTGATCTTTCTAGTATGTATGGTCAAGAATTAGGCTTGTGATATACTGTCATGATTTTGCCCACATGTTCCCTGAATATACTACCATTTCCTTAGGAAGACTTCCAAGAAGAATACTGTTGTGAGTTCTAAGCCTAACTATGGTTTGGAACTGTTTATAATGAATTATTGGGATTCTGCACATGTAATGTGGATGCAATTCTATTTCCATTTAGAAGATTTTCTGCAAAGGCAATGCTTTAGCTGTGAGATAATTCTGTTTTGGAAATAAAACTGATATTTATTTAGATTTGTGGTATTTATAAGGCAGTTTATCAATAGCAGGTAGCATCTTGCCTCTTTGCTTTGATCAGGGCCTGTGCAACCAGTGGTAGTCAAAATTTTATAATTTAGCAGAGGGCACTGAGCAGCAAAATTTAGAGGCAAAAAAATGTTCAGAACTTACGAAGACATCAGCCAGCAGAATTTAGGATATGCAGAGATTGCACTGAGTGGCAATAGTGCCATATGTTACATTTGCTATCTGCATTATTAATTTGTGAAACAATTTCAGCTGCTTTGAAAATGCATTTTTCTGTTAGAAATTTGTATTTCTTGCAATTTCTTTTTTTTTGGGGGGGGTCGAGAATATGGTGTTAAAAATATTTTATCATTTTCTTTTTTTTTTCTTTTCAGGTGAAAATTTTGTGCATGATTTGGCTTTCATTGAGACGTCTCTGGGTCAGGAGTTACTAAGGAAGAGAAACTTACATGCAGGTTGAAGCATGCAGTGTCAAATGTATAAGGAATATAAAAGATGCTGTATATTAGTATAAGTTTGAATAACCATAATAAAAAAATTTCTTGAAAATTGTGTTTTTTCTGCGAGTTATTAAAATTGGAAATAATTAATTACAATATTTATGAAAATTTTCGAAAATAAAAATACAAGTAGTATTTAAAAAGTACTGCAAAACTCATTTTTAAGTAGAAAAATTATTCTCAGATGAAATTCTTTATGCAAAAGGATTCGATTATGCAAAAGGACTTTTTTAGTATTTGAAAGGTTCATTTGAACCCAACAACTGAAACTAACGTATCCCCAGTTTATTGATACCAACCATTTTGTTGGTATCAATGAACCCACTACTTTCTAAAAGCATTTCTGTCAATTACTAAGGGCTAATGAACAAGTGTTGAATTCTCAAGATGAATGTTGCCGAAACAGAAAAAAGTGTACTTCAGAACATTCTGCAGTAGCTCAAACAAAGTCACGGACCTCATCTATACTGTAGTCAGAGAGAAATTATTCCCCTTCCTTTTCTTTCAAAAGCTGAGTTTCCAAACGCACAACGGGAGGCCGTTGCTAAAAGCTGTGGAACCAGTTTTATAGCTATTTTTAGCAACTTGTGAGCTGTTTTTCAGATAACACAGTAAATCTCGGGGAGGGGGAATTTGAAATCATGATCACTGCCGGTACGGCAGAATTTACGGTACAGCAAAATTGTAAAATTCAGCGAAGCATCAAGCAATAAAATTTTAGAATTTTGTGGGAAGGGCACTTGACAACAGAATTTATTGCGTACAAAGTCAGCAAAATGCATAGCGCCGTACCTGATTCATGATACAGCAGTATTCATTACCAATAGCAAACTTGTTTGAGGATAAGTTCGAAAAAATGTTTTCTAGTTGTTACCTAAAATCGGTAAACAATAATCTTTGAAAGATTATTCGATTATATCGTTACTAATATGGTAAAAATTTGAAAAGCAATCAGAAGCCGTATCTCTAGGGTCTTCACGTCACGATTTATTTTTATTTGTTCGAATATGATATTTATATCTCTCTTCCTACAAGTATGTATCTTCGTACGTATAAAGTATCAAAAATAATAAAAGTAATTAATAAATTTTCTCTAGTTGCCCTGCTGAAAACTACATCTGAATATAAAGATAAGAAAGACATCAGTAAATTGCTGTTGTTATTTGCTGATCATAATGGTAATCAACCGAACATGATCACATATACCGTCTTCAAAACTTTGATTTTTATCAAGCTTCATATAAATACTAGGTTTTTGTTAGTCACGTAATTTGACATCCTAAATTTAAGATGACAGATGAAATAATGACTAGTTCTGAATTAGCTCACTCAGGAAGTAAAATTTTCTCCTTCCCGTCAATATAGCATATTTATAGCTCCCAATGATGGCGATCACTAACTAAATATGTTATGGATTAGAACCCTATTGCACTCCATAAGTTTTTCTTTATTCGCTTTATGTGCATGCATGCATGCTTGGTTGTGGAAGAAAGAAATTAAAAAGCCCCCCCTTTTTTTTTTTTTTTACTTAGGTTATTCGAATGTATACGCCAGACATTTATTTGTTGAACTGTAGTTATAATTTGGAACGTGGTGCTAGAGCCGTTGGAGCCGAACCGAACGTCAGTTTGTTTAGAATTATAGAGTTTGATTACGCCAAAGCAGGTGAATTTGGAAAACACCAAAATCGGTCATGCATCCAACTCGTTATCGAGGCTTGAACTCCGGATGAACTACCAGTGTTCGGCGGCTCGCTTGCTAGAACTGCGTTAGGCTCTTTGAATGTAGCAAAGCCACGAGGGTTACCTTCTTAAGATGGCAGGCCTTCGTGGAGTCATTTTCTGAAGGCTTAGATTAGGTTATTATGGCAAAGCACAGTAGGATGCCTTCATGTTGAACTTTCTTAGAGAAATTGACAACCCATACACGTTACACATACAGAAAATTATGAAAACGTCCATGCAGCCGGCCCGTTAGCCTTGATTCGAATCCAGGTCGAAACTACCAGTGTTCAGCGATTTAATTCCTCTACCGCGGGAGGGCCTAATTGCTGAAGGGAACTGGCTTGTATTCATGTTACACACGGTGAAAACAAACAATGCAACCAGCTGATTCGTCTGGCATCGAACCCAAACCAGTTCGAACTTCCAGTATTCAGTAGTTTTAACCACTCGGCCACTGGTGGCGTGTGGAGCCACAGATAATGTACTGAGTAAAAATCCCTAATAGTGGCCCTGGTTACTAGTAGGATTGTAAGTATATTGGTAATCATCCAATCTACAGCAAGGAAATTTCGGAGCTTAATTGTAAAGTCAAATGCGACACTCCGATAAACGTGGTATATGTAGAGATGGAAAAATTTATTCTTGTATTTATTAGTAAACATTTTATACTTAATTTTTCGTTCTAAGAGAGTTATCTGATATTTTTCCAATAATGTTTTTTTTTTTTTTTTTTTTCTTTTTTTTTTTTCAAAGTTAGACAAGTTTACACAAACAATATAGGTCGAAAAGGGAGCTGGAGCTGGTCTGCGCCCGGTGAGCCTGTCGGCAGCGTCGCAAAGCGTAATTTGACTAACGAAAAGATCATGCTTTGGATCTGGTGATCTGGATAGTCACTTGTGTTGAAAAATAAATTTATTTCAACAACATAGGCCAAAAATTTAGTTGATCTGCGCCCGTGAGTCCGTCGGCAGCATCGTAAAGCGTAATTTGACTAACAAAAAGATCATTCTTTTGTATTTGGTGGGATTGCCGTGGTATTAATCACAAATAGTATATGGAAAAAGGTAAAACCCTTGACAGTAAAGGATACAACGAGATGCTAGTGCATGTTGACGCTGCTATCAAGGAAAAGAGTCGAATTGAGTTCCGGCGCAGAAAGGTAACGTTCCATCAAGATAATACCATACGTGTCTGCATTCACCGGCTAGGCCTCTGTACGGACTCGAAAGGGATCTTTCACCACATCCACCATATAACCCCGACATCGCACGTTCGGACTTTCAGCTACATCTTGCTGGTCTTATCTTCACTTCTGCACAAGACGTCCGAAATGAGGTGTACCTGTGTTTGAACTCGAGCCACCAAGTTTCCGGGCCGAAGGTTTTGAAAAACTACCAAAAAAATTGGCAGAAATGCATAGGTTTTTGGTAGTGATTACTACCCGCACTAAAGGTACTGACTGCTTTTTTGTTTTCATAACTTTATGAAGAATGTTCGTGCTTAAAATTTTCGTTACAACCATTAAATTCTGTAATTTATGAATTCCTTCCCACTTCTCATGTATTTATCAGCTGTACTTTATGAACTTGATATTCCTACAATTAT